GAAGGATAAGCTAGGTAGTTTTGCTACATTTATGTGCATTTATCAATTCAGCTGCACCTGTGCTCACAGTTATGTTGGGCACACCACTACCAGACAGCTTAGCCAACACGTCACTACTGAACATCTCCCATCGTGGTTTGGCGAAGGACAGACAAAAATAATCCGTTGTTCCATTTTGTCACATTTAGTTGATAGTTGTCATATAGTGGAAAAAACGTAAGCATTCGAAGTAACTCATCGTATTCCACTGAATCTTTTCAATAGACTTCGCGTTCGTCTACTTTACACAGGTGAAGCGATAGGAATTCGAACAATTAAGCCTAAATAATGTGAATTCAAAAGAAGTTTGTACAACCAATATCCCTCCCTTGTTGGCCTTTTAAGACCTAACCAACTGATGACTTCTCCACCACTCCTTACTTATATTTTCAGTCCCTCTCTTATCATCCCTTAGTTTAATCACATCTTCATTAAAAACGTCTTTCATTTACTTCCTCTACAATCTAGCATTACTTATTTTTGTCCATTTGTTTTATCAGCCTTTATCGACCACTGTATTTACCTAAGCATTTGTTTGTTTAATCAGACTGTTTTTCGATAGTCTCGTGACCACAGATCGCCTCACTTTTTCATCCTTATTATTGATAGAACCATTAATGTTATTATTATGAATGATTACGCAATTTATATGCACAATCTTATAATCCTATTGACGAAACACGGTGATTGGTTTATATTTGAATATTTATTTGTAAAGTTATGTAGCCATATTAGACTTGAGCCTGATGATGAGATCTAATTGAAAGCACACTGTTATTCATTTAAATGTGTTGTTCTAAATAATTTGTACATCAGTATATTCATTCACTTGCCATTTTTACATTCATGTAATAGTGAACAACAATCAAGAATGGGCATAAAATGTCACAGAGACAAGAGTACTTTGTTATTCTTTTGTAGGTTGTTATGAATTTTGGTAAAAAAATATATTTTTATGACTTTGTCCCTGTACCTGCAGAAGATTATTGTCAAGAATTTATGTGAGCACACTATCTTTCACATTATTGTATTGTTATTGTTCCCTTGGGTCCCGAGTGGAACATGGGCATTCAAAAACGCATCTCCACTTTCTTCTATCTTCGCCTGTCAACTGGCTATCCCCACAACTGCCCATAATCTCCCATCTCCTCCTCCCTCCAACTCACACCACCTCCTTCATATCAACCTCACGCACCGACGACCCATTCAACACTTCCCATTCACCATCCAGTTGAGCGATGGATGGCCTGCATTGAATGTGATGTCATTCGCAAGCCTACCGCCTCAAAGTATGCCCCATAAATCCATCTTCATTTTCTCCTACATATTTGTTGAGCAATCGGCTCTTGATTGTTTCGTTCATTGCCAGAGTTTCTTGTCACCAATTCTTCCTGGCCGGGTGGTCGGCCGGCTGGCCATTCGATCTTCAGTATTGAGACAGACAGCGAAGGGGACAGCTGTTCATAAGAGTCTGAAGTAGCCAGATGCAAATACTTTTCATGACGCCTGCGCGCTGGATATGTTTCTGATCCACATAGAAGCACCAACTGACTGACTGACTGACTTCACTCACAATTGTGTTCAAAATCTCAATCTTGCTGTTTATGCTGGCTGAGGTGAAGTGAAGCAGTAGATTTCCAAACTGACTTCAGTTTTGTGGGGTGTATCTCGCCTTTCTGATTCTAAACAGCTGACTGGCTGGCTTTGACATCTTCATCCTTTCCGACTACCTGTGACTGAAACTACGCTGGCTGCCTACAGAAGTGAAGTCCTAGCAGTAACCCCTTTTCAACGTCTTCCTCCATATGATGGTGATGGTAATTTGTGCTGTTTGTTGCTGCTGTTGGTTGCTTGGTTATCTTCACCTTCTCTATGTTCACCAGGATGTTGTCCTGTCTTTGCTGCCAGCCAGCCAGCCTCTTCAGCCAGTTTGTTGCCAGTTTTCATCTGCAAGTCTTTCAGTTTGTGTGACGTCCAGGCATGAAATCCAGATCTTCTAGAGTCTACATGTGTGCCCAACGCACTCAGATTTGATACTGGGAAGAACTATATGAAGTTTTAAAAAGGCAATAGTTTCACTAGGCATATTACTTACTATTGAAGTCAATTTTGACTACTGTCATTTCCTAAGTCGATTTTTTGTTGTTCGTCGCAACATGCATGGGACAGTTGTTTAAAGCATTAGTTGATTTTTAGAAACTGAAAATACTATTGGCTATAAAAATCGTGTCATACAATAATGTTGTACTTTTTCCTTAAGAAAATTGATACATGTGAACGCATCTCATCCCAACTACATTTTTATGAAGAAAGTATTCTGACCTTTTCGTTTAACATGCCCATAAACGCTGATGTTAATGCACAATTTTTTCTGAAACTTAAAAGTAACTAATTTCATCAGTTAGCTTGTGAATGTGAATTTTTTTTGACGATGACAAAATTGCGTCTTCACAAACTATATTTTTTATATTAGATCAGTTTATTTGAAATACTACACACTAGTGATGCAGCACGAATAACTGGATGATGTTTAATACACAATTTAGGCATAATACAGAGGATTTGTAGCTCAGATGGACGATTTCGATGTAGTTGTGTTCTCTGAGCTGGATAGTTTATTTGAGAAGCTTTCATTGTCCAACTAGCCAACATCTTCAGTGCATACTTCAATTTGAATTGAAGTGAGCTTTTAGATTTCTCCACGAGTTTATTAGTCACCTCCCCTGGTAAACTTGAACGTGATTGGCTGTTTTTGTGTATTTTCAAACCATCGAGTCTACTTGTATTGGCATTGATTGTTTCCTTGACATGAAGTTTGCCCCTCTGTGTATGCGATTTCCTTCTAATCGATTGGTAAATCTTGTCCATGTCAATGTGTCTATTAATTGCCAATTAACTTGAATACCAGGCTTCTAAAAATTCTCTGGCGGCTTTGGTGTTTCCTCTTCCTAATATATGAACGTTGTCGCAGTGGAATTGATGTAAGTGCTTGTCCGCATACAGTGTATTATGAGGGATCTGATATTTTCCCTTTTGACAGCAAGTTTTATGTTCATGGATAAGAAGACGAAGAGGGCATCCACACTCTGGCCAATGTAATGATTTTCGCAGTCTCTGCAACTTATTTTGTACATGATGTTGGTTTTATCTTCTTTCCTGGTTGAGACTTTTGCTTGATATAGCGCCGAATTAAGTAATTTTGTTGGTTTATGTGCGAAATCCATTCCTAAAGGCTTGAGGAGTCTTGCAGTGATTTCTGAGACATCCTGTATATATGGTAAGACGATTTTCCAAGTGTTTTGAATGGGGCCTTTGATTTGGTTGGTTGGGTTCCGGGTATAGGTCTCTAGATGAAGTTTCGTGGATATCAGTTTTTTTGAAGAAATCCATGAGGCATTTTCCTTCAGTTTCCCTTAGGGTAGGAGTGCTGCAATGAGTTCTTGCACCATGGAACAATGTTTGTATGCAAGTCGTTTTATGTCTTATCCGGTTGCTGCTGCTGTAATTGAGTATTTGATCTATGTGAGTTGACTTTCTGTAGACTTGAGTTTCTAATTTTCCTATGATTATTCGCTTGACTAAGACGTTTAAAAATAGAATTTTACCTTCAAATTTCTCTTCTCTTGTGAATTTGCTGTTGTTGAAGATGTTGTTTACTAAATTGTAAGTTTTGTCTAAGTTGTTTCCTTTGATTATCACGAATGTGTCATCTACATAACGTATCCAAATTTCGGGTTTGATTTTTTGTAGGATTATGTTTTCAAGTCTTTGCATCACAGCTTCGGCAATCAAGCTTGACATAGGCGATCCCAAGAGTGTCCATTTAATTTGTTCATATATTTGGTGAATCTTTTGTTAGACGTAGATTTCTGCCTTCCATCCAACTTTAGTTTTCGATGTTCGGGTGTTGTTAGAGGTGTACGTCTTTGCTGAGTAATTGCTCCATGGATTCTTTTGCACATGTTTATTGTTCATAACCGTATCAATTAGTTACATGGCTTCATGATTCGCTATAAATATGTATTTCTCTCTCACTGTTTTCAAGTTGATGAAGGCGTATCTTGCCTTTCTTATTCTGTCTGGCTGCCTGGTGGGCTATGACGTTTTCATCCATTCCTCCTGTAGTTGAAACGATGCTTCCTAGATAGTTGAAGGAAGTAACGTCTGTTAAATCTCTCCCATTGATGGTGATTGGTTCTGGTTGTTGCTGTTGTGGTGGTGGTGGTGGTTCGCTGGTTATCTTCATCACCTCCGTCTCCACCTTCTCTATATTCACCTGCGGTCCTGTCTTTACTGTCAGCTTCTTTAGCCATTTTGTTGCCAGATCTTGCCTGTAAGTCTTCGAATATATGTGATATTAGACATACATCATCTGCGAAACCCATATCTTCTAGATTCTTCTCATTAGTGGTCCAGAGTATTCCTGATTCCTCTCCCCAACGCACAGTCTGACGCAAAATCCAGTCCACCACAATTGAGAATATCATCAAAGGTGTTAATACGCAGGCAGCCAGCGCGTATTCACTTCGAACGCCTCAGTGAGTTTTCCATTGTGGATCACCAGACACGTGTCACTGTCAAATGGCTATTGTATGAGGTTGAGAAAGACTTGATGTACGCCTATTTAATCACAATATGCAGCATCTAGTCTGTATAAGCAAATGTTTAAACTATGTCATACATTGTATGGTAAATGTCTGATGGAAACATTGAGATTTTGGTCAACTCTGAGATAAGCGAGTTCTATATACAATTCATGTCAGTTTTTCTCCTTGTATATTCATAGAAGTGTAGAAGGTATTGCTTAATTCAATATCCCTAAAAGTATATGATGATGTAACCGTCTGTTAACTTGGATTGTTTGTTTTGCTTTTTTGTGTAATTCTGACTGATTTTCCATTCTTTGAAAAAAAGTAGTTTTATCTGACTTTTTGTGTTGTTTTGCGTCTTCTCGTTTTCAGAGAAGGAAAATCTGGTGTTATCTCCTATTCTGCTATACAAAATTTCATTGGAACATTGAAATCACGACTGTGTGTTGCCCAGGTATACTTCTCTTTGTTTGTTTGAATATACTAATAATAATACTAATTTAACTTTATATTATCAAAACTTCAGCAGACTTGCATATATTTTTGATTGAGCACTAGTCACTAGCTAGTGTTGTAATGTGCCTCTTCCTTTCCCTGGTGCAGCCTGAATTCTGTCAGTCAGACAAGGCTGTTCGCCATCATGGTGCACTGTGAATAATTTATATTAGGTGTTTGGAGACAGTCGGCCAGTAAGCTAGCTGGCACTCACCAGTCAGTCAGCAAGGCGTATCTGCAATCTTGAAGGAATTAACATATATCCATTCTAAGACCCGAACCCGTGCTATTCAGTGCTTCAGTGAGTCAAAGATGTCACCAATGAGCCGTTTGGGCTCACGATTGCCAACTGCCTCCAACCATCCAATATCAGCGATTCGCAATGCACCATGATGGTGAGCTACCTAGACCACTGGTGGCCTCATTGCAAACTTGACTGACTGGTAGTATTCAGACTACACCAAACATAGAAATAGACACAATACAACACTGGTTTATGACTAGTATCCGACCAACGTGTAAACAACGACTATTTTGATTGAAATTAAAAATGGACTTAATGTCAGTAAAAGGTATGAGCATTGTGGAATACTGCAAATAAATTATAATTATATTTCAGTAGTTTACACACTATGATAGGTTTTTTGTTTTTTGGTAATATTTTGAGCAAAATTACTGTAAAAATTTATAGTACATATCATAAATATGTGAATTCAGAGCAAAACAATTCCAATAGTGGTGTGAACACGGGCAGTAATTTTGTAAAACGTATCATTGTGTGTAAACTATTGAAATATAATTATAATTTGCTTAAAAACAAACCTTTTTTCCTGATATGCTCCTGAATTCAAATTGAAGCACTAATGTCATCACTGATGATTGTAATCAGCTTTGTCTCCTTCTTGTCTCCGCTCTAGAGACTCAACTGACTCTTCCTCAGTGCATCACTTGACATGTGGCATCACCAAATAGTTAATGACCGAGGATGAAATAGGTTTCGAGGCCTTTCGTAGTGTTGGAACAGTTTCCTGATTAAATCATGGCCATCGCTGAAAGTTAATGAAATCGAGGTAGAGAGTCAACAACCTTTCCCTCTCTCTCTCTCTCTCTATATATATATATATATACATATATATATATATATACATGAATGTACACCCGCATACTTTTCTCAGTTATTATGAGTTGCATTTAATAAATCTTCAACCATGAATGTAAACAGTGAAAGCTAAATTTCATCAGCTGACATTTACTGTACCCAGTCAGATAGCCATAAACTTACACCACCTTGCCCCTCACCCACACCCACGCTTGATTCCATTTGTATCCCTGTTTTTAAAACAATTCAGTAACTCCGACTCTCTCTATCTCTCGCACACGCTCTCCCTAATTACGATGTACATTCATCACGCAAGTATCACGCGATATTCTACAGTCATAATTATGACTGTTTCTCTTCTCCCAAAGCAATAAAACCTGGAATTTATGAGGAATGAATCTCCCAGAAGACTCATTTCGAATTAGAGAAATAGGTGATACCGTCAGCCTCTAAATAAATGTACATATACTCATACACCTACATACATACACATACACACACAAACACGTAAGTTTGACCTTAACTAACTAACTTAAATAGCTGACGAGATCTGAAACCATATATCCTCCTCGGAACTGACTTTGTTCAAAATAATCATCAATGCATCAAGTTGAATGCAAGTGCATATCAGGAAGTAAAGAAAACCTATTTTTATAATAAAGGTTTTTGTATTTCCCAATAAATGAAAAACAAAACGATATTGTTTTTACTGACGTTTCGCTATTTAATGCTAATAGCTTTATCAAAGTATTATTAAACCGGAATATACAAAATCTCAGCATATATAACAAAGAGTTAAGGGGTGAGAAAATAGACAAGTTAGGTCAATTTAAAACGACAAAGGTAATAGTACATCTGTTGTGGTATCAAAATAAAGTTTACTAACTTGATCATCGTTCGTCTGTCTGGGGACATTTTTCGTTCAGATAACAAAGGTTATAGTACGTCAACACGAATGTGATATGCAAGTTCACTATGTAAACCTACACTGCCTTCATAATTTTAAACACTGATCAAATCCAACAATCTACACTTGGTTTTGTTATCCTTACCAATTGACCAACTTTGATTGAACACCAGTCACTTACGAATGCTGTATTTTGTCTAGTCTCATCCTTGGTGCAGTCTGAATTCTATCAGTCAGTTAAGTTTGTGATGTGACCACCTACAGGCTAGGCGGTTCGCTGTCATGGTGCACTGTTGGCACGGTCGATCAGATCAAGCCCTGTCAAGACCTAGGTATCGTGCTAGTTGGCATTAACCAGTCAGTCAGCAAGGCGTATCTGCAACCTTGAAGGAACTCATAAATACATGCATATATATATATATATTCACATGTTTGTAACTATACTGGTGTTGTACAATGTACAATGTGTAACGACCAAAATCAGCATCTTGTTGTCGGAAGTCGGGAAATCAATCTTTGCCTTGTATTGTATAGGCGATCGAAACCTTGTTAATTGACGCACAATACAAAATTTGTCCTGATAATAGCGGTAATATTTGACGATAATAGCATGTCAAATAGTCAGAATTACCGCAGAAGAACTGTCAGGCGGTAGTTATACAAATCAGATAATTTTCCAGTACAAAACAAGTACTGTAGGAGAAAATCAGCTGACCGAAATCGATTATATTAAGTATCTAAGATTCAAGTAGAATATTCCCAACAAGTGGGGGGGGGCGGCGGGATCAAAACTCTGTCTACAAGAGTTACACACACATGAAAATTATCACAGACGGTACAGTGTCACAATTATATTCTTCATTCACTCAGACAAAATCAAAGTCGTAAAATAACACATTATCAATACCATCATCATACAATCACAAGGGGAAACGTTAAAATCAGGGATTGAACAGGAATAAAGGCAACTAATAAGGATGAAGTCAACACATGGTATGCAAATACCATAAAAATGATATGCAGTCTGGAAGAAAAATCGACAATAATTACAAAGTTAGGTGAAATAGCCGAATGATTTCGTTTTATTTCGAGGAATGATTCTATCCAACTGCTTACATCCTAAGCATTATCGAATTGTAAGTTATAAAATGGCATCTGAACACACCCTTTACAATGACTTCAAGCTATAGATAGAAAGTAAAGGCAACATAATTTCAAAGGTGATGTAAGTAGACAATTATTTAGTGTTAAAAGAGTGACTATTTATATAGTTATTAGACCAGGGAGTAGGCTTCAGATTTCTCCTGGAAACAAGAATAGGCTAGTGACAAAATACAAGTGGGACAGCACAGTTAACCCATACATATTATGTTGGAGAGTTGAGAAGGGTGGATGGGGTGAATTTTGTTATTATTAATTCCTTCACGTTCCCGGTGGAACATAGGGCTTCAAGCTAGAGGCTTGAAGTTTCTGTAGCAGTGTTTATTTTTACAGGATGAGGTTGCTAGCCTCATGCCCAACCTTTCCTATTTACCAGCTTTATTTCTAGTTTAGTGATATAAAGGAGTGCGCCGGCCGGGAATCGAATCCTGGACCATGTGCATGGTTGGCGAGCGTCCTAACAGCTGTGCCACCTGGGGTGAATAGTAAAGTGAAATTATAAAATAGATAAAATAGCTTAATTTAGTAGATTTAGAACCTCAGTAATGAGTTCAAACCAGTGAGTGAGTGAAAAACAGGATCAAGACTGGGTGGAATGTTATGCAACAGAACAAAATACAAAAGTACACTATCAAAACAATTACGGTTACCCGGTAGGGTAGTGAGAGATTAGTTACACTCTTTCTCTGTATGCATAGATTGGGTTGAAGTCTTTTGATGATAACAGTGGCTTCTGCGAACTGAAGTAACCATGGTTTTCCTTGTATATTTTTGATTATTTTGAAAGCCTGCAGGCTAATTTCCACTGTATATCCCGTGTCAATCAGGTGTGTCAGGCAATTGCGCTTGAGAACACTGTGCCACCTTTCAAACAGAGACTTTTATGGATATGCTTGAATAATCTAGTAGACGATTTCCTCTTAGTCCTCCTTATGTATTTTCTGCTACAAGTGCAGGTGAATTGGCAAATGCAGTTGGAGTTGATATGCACAGCAGGATGTTTATCTTCTTTTCACTGGGTTAACGATCATCCTGTTTTTCTGAAAGTGGAAAGAGTCTAGCGGCGAGAAATGTTCTTTTCAGTGAACATTAAATTCTGTTTTCCGTTCCAATGGATACATCTTCGCCTTTTGCTCTGTTGCATAGCCTTCCACTCAGTCTTGATTTTGATTTTCACTCACTCACTCATTGACTTGAACTCATTTCTGAGGTTCTAAATCTACTAAATTAAATTATTTTATCTATTTTATAATTTCATTTCACTATTCACCCCCACCCGCCCTTTATTTATAGTAATCTTCACATGAGCATCAATACAACCAAGTAGATTTACAAGGCCTACTGTTCTAATTTACTATTCCCAACAACAGTCACCACAAAACCATACCACTGACACGCAGAACAGCAAAGTACCAGGAGAAGACAGACTGCTGAGTGGACTGAGTGTTCTAATATATGGCACCAATAGTTCAAATGACAATCACAATAATATCACATAATAAACATACGAAGAAATTTAAAAAGATAGCACCAATCAACAAACAAAATATCGATTCCTAATCATTTTTTAATTCCTCTGAGTTCCGAGTGGAACATAGCGGTCGTACTCTTTTTCTTTTTCTCCTTTTCAACATGGCGTCAGCCTCACGTCCAGGCTTCTTTCACTAGTGAATTTACTACCGGTTAAGTAATGCTTAGGAGTGCTCATTGTTTGAGAATCGAAACCGGGACCATGTACATGGTTGTCGAAATTTACAAGAAAAACTAATAACTGAATAGAAAGACAGGACTGAGAAAAGCCTTAGATGCATGAAAGGCTAAATAAATTATTCAAAATAACTGACTTCTCCGGAGGCATGTTTCTGCAGGCTATCTCCTCTTGTTAACTGATAAGTCACTTTAGAAGAATTGGTCCACTTCTACTAGTCTATTGATTATGCTCTGATGATGTGTGAAATTTCTGGACAATCCAAGGGTTAGTATTTTTTCCACAAAATATTCAATCTGCACTATGTTTCAGTGGCATCTGTGAAGGTATGTAAGTGACTTTGAACCCAAAGAATACAATCAGCTTAGAGTCATTCATAAACGCATTCATACTTTAGAATACTTTCTTCCTTCAAGCTAAGCGAATTTTCCCGTGGATTATTTGGACCAAAATGTCCGGCATCTGTTGACAAGGCGGCTTGTGGTAGGGATTCTTCGGCTTTGCCTGACTGACTGGTTTTCCAACTTTGAAATTTGCGCAGATGTGCAGCAACTCGAGTTGCCTCACTGTCTCTTCATGTAGCACCCAAAGCAAGCAAGAGAGCAAACACAGATTCAAAGGAGACATAATAGACATAAGTGTGGGGCGAAAAGAATAGTAATATGGAAGGACTATAAGGTTTTATTGGATATGATAAATCACAAAGAGTGAATGCATATACACGAACTATCAGTGACAACGATTTTTAGTCATATCACCAATTGTCTTCAGCCTCCATTGCATTTTTCTATCCCGAAAATCCCAACCAGGGAGGAATTCTACAACTCCCTACGTGGCTGGCTGGCTGGCTTAAACCAGCCATCGTGGGTCTCATAGACTGATGAAGCCATGTTTTGGTTTGACCACCATTCGATACACAATTGTTGATAGAGAAATACAGTTTCCAATTCTAGCCAGTTTTGAAGCCTGTTTGGAAGAGGTGATCTACTACGGTAGAACCGTTGTTTTTTTCAACATCACTTTTATTTACCCACACTGACAGGTGTTCTCAAGCACGAAAAAATGAAGTTCGTAGAACAACGGCTAATATAAATGGCCCACATAAGAGAAGTTGAACTGATAGGTGTCTAAATATCCTAAATATTTCATCCAACCTTAAGTTTCCCAAACACAACCAGTCGTGTGGAGAGTATAAGCTAAAGATTACCAGAAATAAACCATTTTTCAATCAATTTTTTAATTTATTGGTTACTGGTATTTCACTTGGCACTTCACCTTTGAATTGTAGTTGTACACACGTAGAGGCTTCTCGTTAAGAGATACGGAAGAATTCTTTTCTAGACAGAAGACCAGTATTTCAGAGAAGAGTCTCTTTTCGGCAAATTCATTTCCATAGCTGTACAATCGCAAATATATATGGTTGTTCTGTATGTATGTGTGTAAATTAAATTGGTAAAACAAAATACAATTAGTAAGTAAGGGTTAAATAACACTATCCAGCGTGGCTGCAGAAACGAAGTAGTGGCCTTATAAGGAGTGTGATAGTTGAACATCTCGTTACCACTGGTCATTCAATCTCAACAAACGCCTCCTGCTTCAAATTAGTCTACCTAAAAAGTGAAGAACGACCTGCCAAAGATAATATGTTTCAGTCTTCTTTGCATTGCAGAAGCCCTAGCCATTCAGTTAGAAGAACCAGAACTATGCATAGAAGAGAAAATTGTTCAGCCACTTCTACTGTCATGGTAACAACTCTGTTGATTTGACTTAACTTTTGTCTGTATGCTTATTATTTTAACTACTTAAAACTCTTACGTAATTCCGTGTGTTACTTTGTTTCTATGTACGCCCTGAGCACAGCTCTTTCATCAAACTATTTATGTTATTACGTAACTCTTCTTTAACAATCATGTGTGACAACTCATCAACATCCAATTCATTTGAAGGCCTTTTGTATTACGTAACTCCACGAAAAACCTACTAATTGTATTTTCGTTTGGCAAATTTAATGTACATACACATACATACGAAACAACAATATATATATTTGCGATTGTACAGCTATGAAAATGAATTCGCCGCCGAAAAGAGACTCTTCTTTGAACTACTGGCATTCGCTCTCTTTTAATGTTCGAACGGGGATTTCTCATGAATTCTACTCTCTTGGTCATTTGTTTTGTGATAAAGTTATTAATGGTTGCTGTCTTCAGTCAAAGTGTCGTATACCAGCCTAAGTTCGTCCTCACTGACTATTCCTACTCGTCACCTGAGACTGCCTGGTGTGTATTGTTTTTCCCAGTCATTCTGACTTATATATATAGGGCAAATAATTAGATGTTCATGTCATGAGTTCAGCTTACGTCAAACCTGACTAAACTGACAATCGGTAGAGTATTGTACACATTGAGTTGGTCAAATTATTTATTGTTCTCTATTTTTTTGCATTATTTTTAGGTATACAACGAAATTAATCAACGTGGATCATTTGACATGAATTACTTATGCTTTCTATTGTGTGCAGCCATTGTAGCAAATATAGCTCTGGTAACAAATTCTGCTGGTGTTGTATTCGCTAGTATGCTGTTATCACCTCTAATGGTAAGTAGGTGAAATAATAATTATATACTTTGTTGATTATTGAAGGACTTTTCCAATGTGGGCTGAATGTCCTGAATTCACCAGGTGTTCTGTTACCAAAATTTATGCAGACACGCGTTCTCCCCTTCGGTAACCATGCTGCATAGTATTCCTGAGAGCGTTTTACAAGCGGACGAGTACTATGGCCAATGTACTCGGCTCCATACGAGCAAATGAACTGGTATATGCATGTTGAAGTGGACCAATACAATAGCCTGTCGTTTACATGTTGGCTGAATGGTTTCTCGCTTGAGAATTTTACTCGTAAGAGAAACCTAATTAAGTTTCTCTTTCTGTTTAGAGGCAAACAACTTTGAAAGTTGGAAAACTATCCGTTCCATGTGGGTTTTTTGTAGATGGATCATCTCAGCAAGTTGACAGCATTCCTTCGCGGTTGAATATCTAGGAAATGAAACATTGAGTCAGACTCAACTTCCAGAGTGAAGTTGGTGCTTGCACGGAACCTTGATAGAAAATGATTTCCCTTCAGTCAGATTCATAGACAAGAATCCAAAACCACAGAAAACGCCTGAAAAGGTTCAAGTCGCCCTCGAAAAGAAGCTACTGATACTTAAAAGTGATACCAAGCAGAAGTGAAAGGCTTTCTAGGTCTCTCAGCAAAACATACTTCACTGCCATTCTCCTGCAAGAAACTATTCAGCCAGCACGTGACAGACAAGCTGTCACATTGGGCCACTTCAGCATACATATACCAGTTCACCTGCTCATGTGGGGCCAGGTACATTGGCCTCAGCACTCGTCCGCTTGTAAAACGCTTTCAGGAATACTATCCAGAATGGTTAGCAAAGAAAGAACGTGAGTATGCATCAAGGTCGATAACAGAACATCTGGTGAATTAAATGACTGGCATTTTTAATTTAAATTAAGAACACAATATTCACCGAAGAGACTTTTTTCAACAACAATCGTATGTATATATGCGATTTTTAGGAAATTATATCCCGTGAGAAAATTTAAGCAAACGTGTGATGAAATAATATGAAATGCAATTAAAATCTTTGTGATTATAATCATAGTTAAATACCATGTCTCAAGTGATAAAACAAACAATGTCAGGTTTTCCAGTGGTCCTCTAAATGAGATATCAACCCGTCATCAGACCTGTAACTAGTCAGACCCCTGATAACTAACCCTTGATAATTAATCTGATAGTCACTAGTGACTGGTCCTATACAAGCAGTTGCCTGGAGTTCCAGTGAAAAGTCATAACCAGTGTGGTCTACCAAGTCAGGTAAGAGAGCATTGACTCGCCTACTACACTGGTTGGCAGGTGAGCTATATATATGTTTACATTTCTCCGGAATTTGGGGAAGTTAGGATTCATGGGATGGCCATTCGATCGGATCACAGTAGACATTATAAGCGAAAGAGTACTGGATGCAAATGTCTTGTTCATAATCCAATGTACTGGTCATGTTGTCTAAACTTCCCAGTATGAGTAGGTAAGATTATGATTGTCTATTTCTAAGTAGAAGAGGTTGAATAGTTCAATAAAAAGGACTCAGACTGTGACATTGGATTCATGGCTCACTTAATTGGGTCCCAATCGCTGAATGGTACACGAGCTTGCCTTATAACCGGAAAGTCCTGGATTCAAAACCCGGTGGATACGTAATGCCGATGAGTTCCAAACTAGGATGACAGAAACAGCTGTCTGGCAGTACTTCCAGTTGGTTTTCAATGGTTCTCTAACTGATATCAATCTGTGGTCTAACCTAAAATAAAGAAACAAAATGAAAAATAAATAAATAGATGTTTATGCCTCTACGACCAAGGTAGAAATAAGGACTGTACATACTTTTTTGTACACAAAGGTGTGGTTTAAATTCATGAATGAATAGCCAAGGCCTCAGCTGTCTTTAGATGTTTAGAACGAGGAAAACGTGGCCGACAAGTTAGCATGGACTCGATAGATGATCTTAAAATCATGATCAGGGTAAGTATGGAGTGACACAGAAGTCAATCAAGTGTTCTAGAGTAGAGCTTCTCACACCCTTCCTTTCTCCGTTGTAAAACCACGCTGGTGGGATATGTTCTGGTATCCGTATGGAAAGCGGTGTTCTCTGGCTACGGCCAATGTATCCTGCTTCGCAAGAGTAGATAAACTGATAGATGCACATGGAGGCGGTCAGACGAGGAAGCTTATCTTTAACAGAGATGGAAAACAACTTGTGGCTGATTTTGCAGCAAAGAATGTCTTACTGACTGTTTTAGAGAAACGATTTTTGAGCATCTCTAAAGCCTGATTACCTCTGAATTCCAAATCATCACATGCCTCTAAGACGGAAGGGTAACAAAAGCATTTTTAAAATTATATTGAGAAGAACCACCTCACAAACAATTTAAGACCTAATAGTTGTCTCTTTGAAGTGATCAGCCTTCCATTTCCTCTACTCCAAATCTTTAGTAATAGGGTTTTCTTCACTATCTTTCACTAGTCTAATCTCCGTAGATCTCTTCCCGGGTAGCGAGTGGTATGATTATGTGGTATACTGTTCTTATTTCTGTCTATTTGTCTCTTATCAGTAATCTGTTCGGCAAAGCTAAAGAATAGGGATCCATGGAATGCGAACGCACTACTGACCTTCAGGCGACTGATCGGAAAAACCAACGCTTTTTTACACAGTGATAAAATACACATTAAACAGGAGATCAACTTGAAAGGCTTCAAACAAGAAGCTCCAGATAGACCAGAATTCAGCCACAACGCATACAGACAGACAGAGACAGTGAAGTACAAATCCACAAAGGACATATTCACTCCAGTAATCAGTCATTAGTCGAAGGCATTAAACAACTTTAAAGAAGGAAAGACACTGGAAGTCTGTGAAGGCAGTGGAGAAGGAAATATGCATGCACATATGAGATAAGAAGAAGATTGATGACAAGAAATGGCTGACTACAGACACCGGGAGGCTGGCTGATACATGGGAAGTTCTAGAGAATATTTCAACTGTGCCACAGTAAATACTTCAACTACCTGCATATGCCCCTCTCTCACTAATGCGTGATATCACTAACCTAACAATTTCATGATTCTTATCATGATTACGATTATTCCCTTGGGTTCCAAGTGGAACATAAGAATTCAACAACACATCGCCATTTCCTTCTATTTTCTCCTGTCCTCTTCACCTGGCTACCCCCACGATTCCTTATAATTTGTCATCTCCTCCCCCACCCCAAAACTATCTCTTCCATGTCGCCCTCCCACCGACCACCCACTCGTCGTTTCCCGTTTGGATTCGACTCGAGCGATGGCCTGCATTTTGAGCGATATCATTCGATGGCCTTCTCAGCGTATACCCGACCAACTCCATTTTGCCTACATATTTGTTGAGCAATCGGCTCTTGGTTGGTTCGTTCATTGCCAGAGTTTCTTGTTTCTAATTCTTTCTGGCTGGCTGAATGGCTGGCCATTTGATCTTCACTATGGAGCCAGCTAGTGAAGGTGGCAGTTGTTTTGCGTGACACGGAGTGCAAGTCTCTTATCCAAAAAGAAGAAATGACTTCCCATTTATGTTGAAAATCCGAAGGCTGTTGTTTATGCTGAGGCAGAGTGCAGAACACCTGCAAACTGATTTCCGGTTGATGGAGGCGTATCTTGCCTTTCCGATCCTGGCCGGCTATCTGGCTGATTTTGACATCTTCATCCGTTCAAAGTGTCTGTAGTTGTAACCGTGTTTCCTAGATAAGTGAAGGAAGAAACGTCCGTCAAATCTCTCTTGTTGATGTTGATTGGTGCTGGTTGTTGTTGCTGTTGTTGGATGGCTGGTTATCTTCATCACCTCCATCTCCACCTTATCTATGTTCACCCGGAGTCATGTCTTCGCCACCTGTTTCTTCTGCCAACTTTTGGGTTCTCATCTGCATGACTTCCATGTTGTTTGATATTAAAAGACAAAATAATCCACGGGTGAAATCCAGATATTCTAGAATCTTCTGATCGGTCAGTGGTGCGTATAATCCAGTCCATCACAATTAGGAATATCATCTTTGATGATAATAGGCACGCAGATAGCTTGTCTGATCCCTGTATTCACTTCAAAGGCAGGCTGCTCTGAGTTTTCCGCTGCGAATCAGCTGACTGATACGTTGCGGTGTCATATAGCCAGCTGTCGAATGAGTCAATAAAGACTTGGGCACTGCATGCTGTAGTGTCCAAGTAGTTTCTCACTTGCTTCTCGGTCAAGGCTGTCGAAAGCCTATTCGAAGTTGACGAAGGATGTTGAGGTAGAGAGAGGTTTGACCACCATTCTATGCTTCGTTCTGTAACGATGATGTGTAGAGTTGCAATTTGATCAACACATGATTTGCCTTTCCTGAATCTGGCCAGCTTGTTCCGGTGACGCTGGCGGAGTTCTGCATCCAGTGCATCTTTTATTCTCTCCAGGATGATACCACGTAGAATTTTACTTGGCGTGGACAAGAGCATTATTCCACGCCAGTTCTTGCAGAGTGAGGCGTTCTTCGCCCTCCTTTGTTAGCTTGACAAGGTAGCCTTGTAGCGTTGTATAACTGTAAGTTTTCTTACTTCAGATTTAAATCTAGCTGTGATGCACATAGGGAAGATGGGTTGCTAATGCCTTAGTCTTTGATACTGTTGAGGATATGGAGATAACCACACCCTTAGGGTGCTCGTGATTGTCGTCTGCATGACTGAATTCTCAGTTAAAAACTTTGACCATCCACTTCGCTTCTACTTTGTCTGATAGATTTTAACACCCCTATAATATATCTTTATATTTCTCCTGAAACCTAAGCTATCTTAACAGCTGCCTACACGATATGGACATTCCATCTGCCTATACTTAGTTTTGCATGCACCGAAAGGCAAACATATCAGCTGACTGGACTCTAGAAGACTGGCATCCTTCAGAGTTAGCCATTTTTCAGATATCAGCATTCCTTAAGTTTGCCTTTTTCTGTGTAACTAGGTC